CTGTGGTCCTCTTCATAAAACCACAGCCCCAGGAGGGTGACATTTCTGCAATGACCACAGTGCTCACTGGATCCTGGTTAACTGCGCTCTGCCTTTTCTCCTGCAGATCTACGGCAGGTAACTCTTCCCTTGATGCTAATTCCTGAGTGTTCCTCCATCCCTTGTTGGTTTTCATCCTGCACATACCTTTATTAAACTCTCTCCAACTATCCTTTTAAGGAAGCTATCTTGCTGAGCATCTAATACACAGAAACACTTTGTCAACTAGCAGCATTGTTGCCAGTACTTGCTATAATATGATCTTGTTAATATCCCCATCTCAGCCTTTAATGTTTTAATAAAAACATGCCTATACCCTAATCTTTCTAGCCCTAAATTTATACATACATCCAACTCACCTGCATAACTGAACTAGTACCAATATGAATTCAAAATGAATTAATAACTCATTCCCCAGGTTAAACTACTTGCAAATTATTCCTAATATATACACACAAACACGTGTGTGTGTGTGTGTGTGTGCATATGTGTATATAATGTATTTTATGGTAAGAAACCTTACTCAGGATTTTCCACTACTATATTTCTAAATAAAAAAATAATATCTATTTAATTCAGGGTTTTAAAATGCATATTGAAATACCTTTAATAGCTTCCTAATAGCTATTGCTTAAATGCACTGATAAAGTATAATTATCACATAATTTCAATCCAATTATAAACAACAAATGGCATGTGATGAATGAAAAAATAAAACTAAGGAGTTGTTTCTATTTTTTTCTAGTAGTCAGTACTACAGAAATGACTACGTAATAGATTCAATATGGTTATACTCTTGCTCATGGACCACATGGAACTTCCCAGATGCCCTAGTCCAAAAACAAATAAACAAAAAAACAATAGGCCATATGTTGGTTGGAAGAGACAATACTTAGAGGAGACTCATAATTAGAGGAGAAAGTTTTTTCCCTAGACATTATACATTCCTATTCTTTTTATTTCTGACTCTAAAATTCACCAACTGAAGTAATGTATGTCAGATAATTTTGCCTCTAGATACAGAAAGAAGGAAAAAACAGCTCTACCTGAAATGATAATCTAAGCTCCTATCTGACAAACATTACATCCAAGTTCTTAAATCCAGCTAAAGAATTTGGAGCTATTTGTGGAGCATTTTTGGTTGCTGTTATTCTGCCCAACTTATTAGCAGCTGTACATGTTTTCCTTAACCTTTTTCCTTAACCTCTCTCTTTTCTATTGCCTTCCCCCCAACTAAAAATGGAACTATCCACGCATTCCCTTCCCACTCCCCAGCCTCACAACTCCCATTGTTTTTATCCCACAATAAGCAATGAAATACACTGAGGCAAGACAGTTTAAATGAGCAATGGAGTCATATGAAGTTGCTAGAGAGATTAAGAAAGAAAAGAAGCCGAACACAAAAAGGCAAACACTGTATAATTCCATTTATACAAGGTATCTAGAGTAGTCAAATTTATTGTGACAGAAGCTAGCATGATGGTTGCCATGGGCTTGGGAAAGGGGAAATGGCGAGTTATTATTTAATGGATAAAGAGTTTCAGTTTGGGAAGATGAAAAAGTTCCATAGATAGATGGGGATGGTTGCACAATAATGTGAATGTACATAATGCCACTGAAATGTATGCCTAAAAATGGTTTAAATGATAAATATTACGTTATATATATTTTACCATTACAAAAACAAAAACAAAAACAAAAAAAAGAATATTCTATCAATAATCCATATCAAGAGACTTTCCTTTCTATATTGGAAACAGGTACAAAAGGAAAAAAAATCCTTTCCTTTCCCTACCCTTATCCCAGCTTTCCAAATTGAAGCTAATTGGTAAGAAATAGAGAATAGTTCATTGATCAAAATTAGCCTGAGCCTTCACAAATTTGAAATCCCAACTACCCCAAATCCTAAACCAATTAACTTATATAACAGAAGCACAAGGATTTTGAACAAAAATCAGACTTTATTTATGATATAGCATATTTGGAGTTAAGTAATTGTATAGACTTGTGCTTAACACACAGTATAGCAATACTTTCTATTTAATCCAAGTATTGGTACAAACTTTTAACTACCATTGAATTCATGATTCTGCCTACTTAAAATATATATGCATGAATCTCTCATTTTAAAAGAGGCAGCTGTACTATAATGAAAGAAACACTGAACTTGGAACCGAAAATAATCTCAGTATGATTCAGCTCTGCCACATAGTATCTCTAGTACCCTCTCTGGGTAAATCTATTTCCAGTTATAAATCTAAGTAGTCAATTTTCACCTACATCACAAAATCAAATAAATCTTGAAACTATAAAGTACAATTTCACTATTAAATTTGTTAAAAGAAGATTATTCTAATACAAGTTTATATTAAAACTAGAGGCCCGGTGCACAAATTCATGCACCAGGGGGGTCCCTCGGCCTGGCCTGCGGGATTGGGCCAAAACCACTTCTCCAACATCCCCCAAGGGCCCTGGATTGCGAGAGGGTGGTGCAGGCCAGGCCAAGGGACCCCACTGGTGCACGATTGGGGTGCGGAGGGACACAGGAGGTTGGCCGGCCAGGGAGGGATCAACGGAGGGCTCCAGGGCATGTCCAGCCCATCTTGCTCAGTCCCAATTGGCTGGACCCCAGCAGCAAGCTAACCTACCAGTCGGAGCATTTGCCCCCTGGTGGTCAGTGCATGTCATAGCGAGCGGTTGAGCAGCCTTAGCATATCATTAGCATATTACACTTTGGTTGAACAGATGACCAGACACTTAGCATATTAGGCTTTTATTATATAGGATATACACATATTTCATAGTAAAACAATTAGGTAATCTGTTATCCTAAAATTCACAGGAAGACTACTAAGTGCCTATATTACAGAAAACACTTCTTAGAGATTATACATTAATTCTGGTACCAAATATTAGAAATACTGGGGAGAAATGAGCTACATATAGTGATACCCTGTTGTGAATCCTCAATTCACTATTCCACAAATACCTAATCTGAATTCCAAGCACTATGATAATCAGTGGGAATATACTGGAGAAGACAACACTATGGTTCTTGTCCTCAGGGAGCTTCCAATCTAATTGGGAAATAAGACATTAAAAGATCACACAATTCATTAATATATGATAGATATGACAAAAGGAAGAGTAGAGCTTGCTGTGAAAGCACACAGTAAGAGTCTCTAATCCAGTTTGGGAAATTTTATGCCAGTTGTACCATCCTTTGTGAACCCAATAGGCTTTAAGTGTTCAATAAATCTTACCTATTTCTATAGCCAACATTATTATAAAACCCACATGTCCCACTGTTCTAGTTAGGAACAACTCCAGGGTTTGGGAGATAAGAGATAGTCAACCTTATTATCTAGGAAAACCCAGGTACACTAGACCCATCACCCAATTCCTCAGTAAAAACCAAAACCAGGCCCCAGGAAATACAGCTTCTCATTCCAAACTTGATTCATACAGTATTTTATATATACCTGAGCAATTATGCTGATGCTGAGAGGCTTCCTCAATGGTACTTTAAACCTGCCTGAAATGCTTTAACCCCAAATCTTCTCATGATTGATTCTTTCAATATTACTCAGGGTTCTGCCTAAATGGTTCCTTCTCTAAGAACCTTCCCCTGACTACCTAGCCTCCCAGTCACTCTTTAAATTACATCACCCTACATCATTACTTTTACAGTACTTATGACTATCTGAAATTGCCTACTACATTTATTTACTTATTATATGTTTCTCCTTGAAATTTGAAAATAAGTTTCATTAAAGCAGGGACCCATTTTATTCTCAACATATCCTCAAGATACATCTTCTTGCCAAATAGCCCCAGTTTTGTTCAGGTAGCTCAGGTACAAGGGAGCAATGTTTCCAGCCCAGAGGATGAAGGATGACTGATTAAAACCAATTATGTAACCTTTTGCTGGTAATTGGTTTAGGGGAGGGAATGGCAGTTCTCTTCAATAAGGCGTAAGAAGATATCTGCTAAGCAACTTCAAGAAAAGGTTTACCTTGCCGATTACAAAACATGAAGAAGGAAGAACCTTGCTCTTCTCCCTGCCTTTATACTTGGTTGTATGAAAACATGATGCTGGGAATCTGATGCAGGGATGTGGGTTGCATTCCTGAGAGGGAAACCATGAGGACGGCAGAGAAGCTTATCCTGAGCCCTGGATGTACTTGATTCACTGAATCAACTACCAAACTACCTCTTCCAAGCATCTTGTTATGTGAGATTTATTTTTAGGTCCTGATCAATTAAGCCATTTTCTATCTCCTGACTTGATACCTACAGCCAAAAACATCATAAACTCTTAAGCCTCTGTTTTTTTTCTGTAACATTAACAGAAAATAGTACCTATGGTCTAGTGGATTCTTAAGGGAATTAAGTGAAACAATGCAAGTAAAGGCCAATAAAAACAAAATATTCAAATGATAACGTTGTTATTGTTACTGTTAAACAATAACCTTCTATGACAAAACTCCACAAGCTCTTTATGTAGTAGTTAGAATTTTGTTATTTTACAGAAAACATTCATTTTAATCCTGTTTAAATAAAATCATTTAAAAAATAATATATTTACCTGGATTTCTTCTATCAGTAGCTCTTGGTTCTTTCTCAAATTTGAAGTAGGTAAAAAAAAAAAAGGAGAACCAAGGCAAATATCAGATCACTAATGAAAAAATAACCATATGAACATCAGGGGAGAGGCTGTTTTTAGCATCAACTCCTCTCTTAACTTACATGGACAGAGCCATATATAAATTTTCATCTTACCTTCATAAATATTCCATCACTGTTTTAATATGGCTTAGATTATATTAATCAAAAATGAAAACTATTTTAGTAATTAAAACTATACTATATTAATACCTACAATTACAAAAAATATTTTAAAGCAGAAAAAAAAGAGCAACTGTTACATTTCATATTGTTTTCTGTGCCAAACTACTTACTTGATATGCCATGAAGAAAAATTAATACTGAAGATCAAAATTGGAGACCTCCAGGTCATTGGTTCAAGCTCACTCCAGCTAAATTGTGATTTAAGATGCTATAATGGTTCATTATTGTCAGAAAGCTGTTTACAGTTCTACATAACCTAGAATAATCAAAATTCTTAAAGTACAATGTGAGGGTTGTTCTGTCATTATTAAAGAAGAGACAAAGAAGAAGGAACAAATATTAAATCCTCCATTGGCCCTAGCCGGTTTGGCTCAATGGATAGAGCATCGGCCTGGGGACTGAAGGGTCCCAGGTTCGATTCAGGTCAAGGGCATGTACCTCAGTTGCAGGCTCCGGCCCCTGAGCCTGAAGAGGCAATAAAACCAATTGATATGTCTCTCATATGGATGTTTCTCTCTCTCTCTGACTCTCCCCCTTCCTTCCACTCTATCAATGGAAAAAAATCCTCAGTTGAGGATTAACAAAATCCTCCATTGCACTGGAACTGCCCAGGGTCTTCTGAGTACAGATAAATTTTGGTCCTGTCAATATTACAAAAACATTATTAGTTTTACTTTTCTAAATATTTAACTATTAACCAACTCTGACAAAAACTGTGTTACCTATTATGACCAACCATAAATTTGGGCAGCTGCAGGACTATGAAAAAAGTTGCCTGGAAAAACTCTTTTTTTCCCTGGGTGAACCATTTTTCACCCATTTTTCAATGTTCTCACACAATGAATATAGTTTAAGAAAAGTAAAAATAGCCTTTACTATTTCTCTAACATTACAGAAAATGAGTGGACCACCCTTCAGATCACTTTTTGTAGACTATATGGGTTTTACAATAGTAGTCAAGTAAATCACACAGTCCTACTCATGTTGTTATAGACATATGTTAACAAAACCTTACATGATCAATGATGCATATGTAAAATATATAAAAAATCTGATAAGCAAAATTTAAAATCTAAATATAACCACTGACTTTTTTATTCCAAACTCTCTTCAGATATATCCTCCAATATATCTTATTCTATTGCTCCAACGCTACTTTAAATCCTTCCTTGGGGAAACAATAAGTTACTAATAAAAGTAATATTTCAGCATATATTTACAAAGGCTCATATATTACTAACCAACATGCCACTAGCATGCAAATATTTCATATAATTTCCATCCATTATCAAAGCAATAATAGAGAATATTCACAATAGTACACAATAGTAGAGAATATTCCCATGTACTCCACAATAAAATTATAATTATCTTCAATGCATATTTTTAAGTTATATATTCCCAGCAGCAGTATCATATCTTTTCAACCTAGTACATTAATCCTCAATGCTATGTACCAACATTAACATAACAGTTATGAGCCTTATGGAAGAAAGAAGATTCTAAATTCAAAGTATATTTTTCCCATATTTTATTTCCAACTCTAAACTGTTGGGGTGATGTTAATAAACTGCAATCTATGTATTCCACTGCCAGCCCCAAATTGTATGTTTTAATTTCAAAACAAAATAATTCTATTTTCTAGGAGTAAGTGAAGATGAAAGGACACATTTGGTCCACTACTGCAGAGCAACTAAAATTTACTGATTTATTTTCATCCGGAATTGGTTTTATAGGGCAAACTAGCGCTAAAGTGTGGGAATAAACCTCTCATTTTTTATTTTTTTATTTTTTTGTAAAAATACATTACAATATTAACCCCTTTCCTAAGAGTCAAGATAAATACCCAGATAAAGAATGCTAGGATTTAACTCTTAACATCTTACACATTCTCTTTTCTTTAGGTTTGTTCCTTCAAAAACTCTTTGGGGGCGGGGGATACTTCTAAAATAGTAAAAAAGAGAGCAATTCAAAGAAAAACTCTCACAACCAAGATGACATATTAGATAAAATTAGATTGTTTAGCATTTTGGAGAAAATATCCTCCATTGCACTGGAATTATCCTAGAAGAAAAAATCTGAATAAACAAAAAGTCTTCATTATCTAGGCTTCCAACTTTCACCCCTAAAAATTCTGTGCCTTCCCAAACCACATATACATCTTCCATCCATCAAAATGAAGGGAATAAGCATCAGGGTTAACCAATGGTTAAGTCTGCACATCTGATCAAATCTTTAAACTCTCTTATATCTGATTATGTAATGCTGTTTCCTAAATCTATAGCATCCTACCCTAGATCAGGAAGCCAATCTGGTATACAGAAAAAAAAAATGTATCTTTCAGTTTCAACCACAGGTTCTAAAATTAAAGAAATCTTTGTTAGAAACCCAGGTAAAGAGCAAGTTACTTTTCTTTTTTCTTTAATGGAGAAAAAAAATCACTATCTTGCATAATTGTTGGGAGAACTGGAGAAAATATACATAAAGCACTGACCACAGTAGCTGGCATGTAGAATGACAAGTAATAATTATTGTTTTGCCTTTATTGGCTATTTTTGAAATACAATTAAGCTACAGAATGTGGAACTCAAACTTTTAAAGTCCTTATTTTGGAGGTCATTTTGGAGGTCAAAAGATTTTTTTCACATTGTAAAAAATTCCTTTGAGTCTAATATCTTCATTTATTCAAATATTTATTTGGTGCTTCTGACATATGAAGGCACTACCCTGAATATCAAGGATACCTCAGAGAAGAAATTTGAATTATCATCCCTTGCCCTCAAGAAACTTACATTTTAGAGGACATTAAACAACCAATTATATAATTACTTAATCACAATTGTGTCTGTGCTAAAAAAAAATAAAATAGGGAGAAATAACCTAACAAGATCAGAATTTAAATTTCTACACAAATATCCCACCTCCCTCCAAAGATTCTCAATCATTCCCTCTATAATTAAACCTAATCCAAACCTTTGTATAGACTTGATCTGTCTGGTTTTTAAAACAATAAAATAAGTAATTAACTTGACTGGCCATTTTTTAAGTTTATTTTCTAATTATAGTTGACTTACAATATTATATAAGTTTCAGGTGTACAACATAGTAATTAGACATTTATATACCTTATGCAGTGATCCCTCCATAAGTCTAGTAATCACCTGTTACCTTACATAGTTATTATGATATTACTGACTATATTCCCGATGCCATTTTTATGTTCAGAACTGTATACTAAAATTATTAAAAAATATGTAAAACCTATAAGTTAATTTCAAATATTCCAATGGTGACTTCTTAGTGAAAGAGAAAGCAAAGATATAATAACACAGGTAAGCACTTGTCAGCTACCTTATTACTTGGTGTTTAGTTTGGTAGATCTGACAAGTGCTAACAAGATCTGAACTCTTGTTAGAAAACACATTTCTTGATAGATTATAAAACTACTATATTTAGTTTATGTGCATACCACTATTCATAATGAGTCCTTTTTCAGAATGTTTTTATTAAAGTAAAATAAATATTTACGTATTTATTACTGAAAAACAAATTACTTCTATGATTTTTAAGATCAGAACAATTCTAATTTGCTTACTAAAAGAGTATTTTTTTTTTGCTCAGGTACCTTTTTAATCTGCCACCTTAAAAAAGTTTGTCTAGCCCAGCTGGTGTGGCTCAGTGGTTGAGCATCGACCTATGAACCAGGAGGTCATAGTTCAATTCTGGTCAGGGCACATGCCCAGGTTGTGGGCTCCATCCCCAGTAGAGGGTTGCTGGAGTGGGCCAATGAATGTTTCATCTCTCTCTCCATCTCCCTTCCTCTCTGAAATCAATAAAAAATATATTTAAATTTTTTTTTGTTTTAAATCAGGTGACATCCATTTCAAAGACAACTCAGAAGTTAGTACACTGTTGCAGAATAGTGGCCATTAATATCCCAAGTAAATATGATGGGGAAACTGAGCAATCAGATCAACTCTCCCACCAAAATGAAAATTAGTTTATTCTGTAAAATAAAATCTACCTCAGTATTTGTCTTAGATTCAAACAATACTCACCTAGAAATTAATGCAACAATTAACTCAGAACAGCAATTGTCAATGTTCCAAAAGTGGCCTCTTCACCTATATTTAGTTCATAAGGAGAGCCAGTCTAGGTTCCTGATGCCAATTACAATGAATGGAAGACATATATTTAAATCTAACAGCACCATCTAGCAGAACTTCCACTACTTTGCTTACAAGAAAGAGTAGATGTTACTTGGTGTTCAGTTTTGTAGATCTGACAGCAAAAGTGGCAATTATTTGTTTTCATGAAAGAATCACAGAATTAGAACTACAAAGGACCAGACACACCAGGTCCAACTTTCTCATTAAGTATCTCAGATACTATTTTTTTTAACAATTTAAAAAGTTATCAGGATACCGATTAAATTCAGCCATTCCTGGGAATCCAACTAAAATTTAAAATTACTTTTGTTCTCAAATTCAACCACCCTCAAAGTAAATAAGATTTTACATCAACATACTTCAATTGCTTCAATCCCATATGCTCTGTAATCATTAAAACATCCTCCTCTAACGGCTTTTATTTTATCAGACATATTACAACCAAATGATTAATGCACACAAATTAGGCTGTTTCAAAACTTTGATTCCAGTAACTGCTGTTTCTAAACCAGGCTATGATGCTGTCTGTTCTACATTCCTTGTCACAGCAATAAGATCCTGAATGTACCTCCTCAGAAAATACCATGGGGAAAACAACAACAAAACCCAGCATCTCCACGTTAATTTTTTGTTGTTGTTTTGCTACATCAAGGCCTGCCACCCCTAAATCCCATGGGGATTGTGTGTGCCGCTGCCAACACGAAGATTAGGAAATGTTCCCATCCCCAGGGCACGAGAAACTTTCAGGAGAAGGCTGTATCCACTGCCTAAAGCAAACAGGGAAACCTGCGCCTTCGCCTGTTATTGACGCAGCTATTTCCGTGCGCAAGGTAACCCAAGTAGCTTTGGGGAGATGGTCTCAGACTTTTCCCCAGGCTGGACCCCCTGGGGAAGGGAGAGAGCACATTCAGTGGCAAGGTAAGCCTCGCCCTCGGAGTGGAAGTGGTTACCGGGCACCGAGGATCTGCTGCACACACACAAAAAAAGAGGGGTTCTTCCTCAGTGGTCACAGTCACTATTCGCTCTCATTTTTAGCAACAACCCAATCACCGTTACAAGTGCAGGCGAACAGCAGCAGGCAGCCCAGCCTTGCGGTGTGCCGCGACGGTGGCACCCCGGGCCAAGGGGCGCTTTTCTCGCCCGCCTCCTCCGGGCTCCCACCGAAGTTAACACCTGTATCTCCGCCTCACCCAGCTCCACAACTCCTCCCCACGCCTGCTCTTCCCCCTTCCCCGAAAACCCCGGTTCGGACCAGGGCCCCCTTCCCAGCGCAGACAACCCTCCGCGCGCCGCCGGC